TAATGTCTCTAAATATAGATTTAGAGAGCTTGCCTACAATTTAATTATCCCCACTTTCTTCTCATACAAATTTTCCATTAATAGTGCTTGGTACCTTGAAAAGCAACCTTATATTGTAGCACATTGAAAATTATAGATTGGCAATTATTGAGGGGTGGCTAGAGGTTGACACCTAAAGACTGATTTTCTGATTATTTTTTTCTCTCAGAGCACGCATTCAGCTTGTGTTAGCCAAATACAGAAGACTGTGCATTGATATTGGACTTCTGTTTTCACTAATCATTTGAGGAGTGGTAAAAAAGAAGCAGCAGTTGATGCTGAATTAGGCTAATTTTTTTTAATTGTTCTTAGTTTTCTCAAGCATTTTACTACTTCCATTTTGTTATTTGAAAACCTGCATAGGATATCCATAAAGTTATTAGGAATTAAGCTCAATTCAAGGGAGTCCAAGTTTATTTTTATTTTTCAATTGTTCCATATAAGGGCACTGAGCTGATAGGACTGTAATGATTACTAAGGGTTGTACTATTCATTATGTCCCACATGAGCTATGGGTGAGCTTTTCTGTACTAGCAAGATTACAATTTAACAGCCTGAAGAGCAGTGGTATCGACAACAAACTGTCACAACATCAAAATAACTCATCAACATAAAAATGCTGCCATTATTTCCTTGTTTCCGAACATCTGACTAAAATATGTAAGTTGTGGCATTTACATGATAAAGTCATCAAACATGTTTAGTCCTTGGTCCTCTACCTTGCAGATGCTATACACGAGGAAACCTTTGCCTACTGTAATATTTGTACTGTAACTTTATCTTATAGTTTAATATTTCATTGTAGTTTGATAATTATAATTTGCTATAAATTATCCCACAATGGGAACCTGTAATTCCATTTCTCGTCATAAACCAGAATGTGCCAACTTGGCCTGTTACCTCCTCTGGTTTAAAAGTACAATTTCATGGTTTTCATGTAATGACAAATTGGTTTAAGAAATCACTAAAATATTATATTATAATTAGATAAAAATATGTCCTTTATTTTAAAAAGCTGTCCTTTAGATTTATTTATTTTTCAGAAACTCACTTCTGTCCTTTATTTTACCCATTTAACTTTTACCATGCAAATTGTACCATTTAATGCAGTCTTTCACATTCCTGTGAAAAATATAAAATTTGAAATTTCTTTTTAAAACAGATTTACATACACTATTTGAAATGAGATATTTTTATGATAGCTTTTTTTAAAGATTTTCTTTGTTTTGTGTTATAACAATAAATAATTTTTTATTCTTATGAATCTTTTCTAAATAAGCCCCTTTTTCAAATTTGTCCTTTATTTTTTCCAAGAAAATATGATCACTACAATTATTATGTGAGAAAGACATGAAACAAGGCTCAGTTTTGATCTAATAAACACCAAACATGGATTAATGTATCAAAAGAAGCTGTAAAATTATTTCTTTGCAGGACTTAGCATGATAGGCAAACCAGATGCCACACATTTTCTGAGGTATTTATACATATTCTTGGCCTCTGTGCATTGTTTTTGGACTTGTCTGTAATTCTAGCAGGAATCAAATTTCACCTTTATATTTACTGTGGACATATTCATGAAATCCAAGTGTTTTCCCCTTTTCATTGTAACCAAGTCTCCATCTTTATCTCTATTATAGTGAGGAAAAGAAGGGATGTACGTATTATAACAAATTACATAATTGCTGATATATATATATATCTCAAGCAGTCATATTCTATTTCCTTTTCCAAGAATTAAAAGATGGAAAGGCTTTTTGTTGTGTCCAACTAGAAAATAACAGATGAGCCAGCAGCCTAAGATTAGTTGAGTAACTGTTTTGAGGGAAGATCATACCACCTTATGTCTGTGCCCTTCATCTTTATTTCTCTTTGTTCCTTGTTTCAAGTTAGCTTCTGTTTTTACCAGTGTGCTTCTCTTATGCAAAAATACATCCTCTGATTCTTTCTTCTTCACTTCCTCCAAGAATCTTCTTTTGAACAATCGTGGATTTTCCATAAAAACTGCTTTAAGAATTTCATGTAAAGCAAAAGGTTGAGGTTACATTTCTTCTGTATTTTACGGCACTGAAAACAGTTGGAAGTCATCACTTTTTCTTTTTTTTTGTCTTTGCACTTTTTTCTCTCTTTCTCTTTTTTTTCTTCTGTATTTTATTTTATAATGAAACTTAACTAATTCCTCAGTCAGCCTTCAATTGAGAGAAACTTTAAAGAGACTTTTGGAGAACACCTGATTCCTCTCGAGAGGGAGATGGGGTACAGGATACCTTTTTCTGTACATTTTCTATAAATCTTTTAAAGACAAAAAGTAGTTTTGCAATATTTGAGCTGCCTTTTAGTGTCTGTTTTGCATATGTGCTAAATTTGAAATTGTTATGTGAAATCCTTTGCTGTGAACAAATATACTGTATATATGCATATTTCTATGCATGTATTTATATATGTGTGCATGTGTGTATACTCTGTGTGTGTGTATATATATACACACATGTTTGTGTGTATATGTATACATACACATATACATATATGCATGGTATATATATGAACATGTGTGTACACACACACATATATAACTATATATATATAACTATACTAGCTCGATACCCATGCTTTGCTACGAAATTATGTGGTCGGGCTTAATTTTTGGGGAGGAAAATAAGGGGGGGGGGAATTCTGCCTCTGCCTACCAGCATCCATGGGTATTCATCTGGCTAGCGTCCTGTCAGTGTGTGAGAGAGTTGAGGGCTCTTTGGAAACTGAAACAGTATTTGCTGTGTGAGCAAGGAGACAGCAAGGAGCCTGGGCGTGGCTTAGTTCAACTGTTCTGTACTAAAGATGCTTGCTGCTGTGAAACTGAAACTGAAACTCCTCTGCTTGTGTTTTGCAGGGGGGGAGAGCATCAGAGCAAGTTAATAGTAATATACGAAATACTAATGCTCTGATGGTCATTTCAAAAAATCCTTTCTTAGCGAGCACATAGAAGCCAAGAGGAACATACGTGCCAAATTTCAAGTTTGTAGGCTTTACGGTTCTGGAGATTTTGTGACAATGCATAAGTGGTATTTCACTTTGTGTGTGTGTGTGTGTGTGTGTGTGTGTGTATGCAGGTCTTGGTGTGTTCGGGTCTTTTCCCGTGTAAGATTGAGAGTATCTTGGTGACATTTCGACGAGGTCCCACTCGCCATCTTCAGGCTGGTGCTTTCGGCTTTGTGCTTGTGCGAGCAAAGCGTGATCGGAGCTGCCATCTCTCTTTAAATACTGGTGGGGAGGTTGGCTGTGTTGTTATTTCTTGATTGGTTGATGGAGTTGATGTTTGCAGATTGGTTGGCTTTTTCGTAAGAACATGTGTGGCTGAGGTATTGGCTGTGTGTCTATCAGCCTCCTGTGTTGTAATGACCTGGGTAATGGGCTGTGTGATGACCTTTTGAGTTCTATTGTTGTGACATCCTGGGTCTTGTGCTGTAATCTCCTGGGTTGTTGGCTGTGTTGTAACATCCTGAGGTTTTGTGGTGTAACCTCCTAAGTTTCGTGATGTGATATCCTGAGCGGGTGGCTGTAATGTGATGTTCTGCCTTTATGGCCTTTGAGCATTTCCAGTTTTGAGGATTTGCTATCACTATCAAATGCTTATTTTTTTTTAATAAAGGTTTTTTTTCCATTTTGATAAACTTGTAGATCCTGCAAGCACTACTGTGAAGAGATGATGTCATATTTGGTCACATAATGATTGTAATTGTAAAGCTTAGTTAATTAGCTGTATATTTAATAATATATGTACCAAACTTCCAAGATTTGTGGTAGGAGTGTGATATATAAGCTGTAGACAGCAGACTAGTTTGTACAAGAAGAACACAGACATGAGATACAAGTTTCTCTTTAGATAATTACACACATCGGTTCTGACTGCATTCTCTTTTATAACATTAGCTAATTTTTCCAAGGTTTAATAGGCAAACCACCCTATTTTTAAAAATTTCCTTTCCAAATGCAATTGGCATTGACAGTACACTCCTTACAAAATGACAAACTGTCTTGAATATTTGTCTTCCTTAAGTAAACAACTTAAAATAAATTCCCTCTGTATCTTTTAATTGTATGGCTGCTTAGGTTATCCTGTTATTTTATATGGACTCTAATCATCAGGCCAATTATTTGTGACAGTTTCATTCCGCTCAATTATTTTCAAAGAACATAATTATCTCCATCATGTGTGCTGAAACATAAATATCAGCATTAAGACTTGAACCCAACAAACTCTTTGGTAAAAGGCGTTCAGTTCAATTAGGATTATTTATTTATGCTATGTTATTATAAAGAGCCCTTATTACCGAGAACATGGCCATCACAGTCTGTGACAAGTGCCTTTGGCCTGAACAGCAGGAATGGGTGTGCTAAAATCGTGTGGGGTGGCACTATCTTTTCTGTTTCTAGTGTTTTCATACCATGCTTATACAGGCACTTCTAGATGCCAGCTGGTATCATTTCCTGCATCTTCCTTACCAGCTGGAGTTACCTTTCTTTCAAATCAAAAAAGGGGGTGACAAATTGCTCTTTCTCATCAAGTTGTAGCTATGGGCGTTGGGGTGCAAGAAGGGAGAAAAGAGAGTCTTCTTTCTTCTTAGTCTACACAGTGTTAGATACAGTATAATCTACAGTGTAGTCTACACAGACTACCTGTTGGATGTATCAGTTATCCTCAACGTAATTTAAAAGAAGGAAATAATTTCTCTTGGGATGTTAACAGAGATCATATTTCTCTTCTCACAAAAATATGCATAGGTTCAATGCTAAAGCTCTTGAAAAAATGGCAAAAGTTGGTGGTTTACAACAACATTCATTCATTCATTCAATTTCTATAGCCCCTCAACTCAACCAAGTGACTCACAGATGGATAAGTGACAGTAACCTGAATACATTTCTCTATGTTGATCTTTTCATCATTTGGATTATCTTCTTTGCAGATCTGTACCCCAGATTTGGTGGTGTTCTTGTCCTGCTCAAATCAACGGCTCCAAGAACGCCTAATGAAGCGCGCTGAACAGCAGGGGAGGCCAGATGATAATCTGAAAGCCACACAAAGACGCCTGACTAATTTCAAGCAGAATGCTGTTCCGCTGGTGAAATATTTCCAGGAAAAGGGTCTGATTGTGACTGTAAGTTTTTTAATCTATATGTTTGATAAATCAATTTTGGCTAGCAAAATTCAGGCAATGACCTAGAAAAAGATTGTCTAATTTTGAGAATAACTGTTTAAATCATTAAACATTTTTTTCATGTTTGATTGAGGACTTCTGCAGTCAAACTCTCACAGACTGAGAGACCCCAGTTGATTTTGTAGCTGTTTCATGCTCACCTGGATGTATAATTTATACAGCAATTGCTTTTTTGATCAAAGCCCTTTCTATTAGAATATAAATGTTTTTGAGCCATCACTGTTGCCTTACAACACTTACAAAAGTTCCTCTCAGAGAATCTGGTAAGTCATTTGATGAAGAGTGGCGTCATATAGAAATGGTCTGTGTCAATCCATTTTTGCGTTTGGGATCAACAGAAGAAAAATTGTGGCCAAATTTAGAGATGCTATAAGCTAGCTCAGTATTTCTCAACCTCATCAGCTTTAAGATGTGTACACTTCATTCATCCTTGCTGGAGAATTCTGGCAGCTGAGGTCCACACGTGTGAGGCTGGGAAACGCTGAGTTATAGAATACATTTTGAGCTGGACATTAATTTGAATAAATACAGCCATTCTGGTAATATGAATTACAGCTAGTCCTTATTAAATGGCTGCAGCAAGCTATATTTTTTTTCCCCATATATGGCCAGTCTTCACATTTATGACCCTCAGAGATCTGTAAAACAGGGGAAAACTGAAGTAAAATCATAAGCCCAGTCGTAGTTTCAATTAGCAACTATTTCATTTTATGATTGATTTGCTGGTCCCAATTCTTGTTACTAAATAAAGACTGTATGTTGAATGTATAGTACAGCTTATTTTCAAATTCTGTTTGGCATTACAGTACTTTTATGCCGCAGTTATAATACTGTCCAGAACTCAAAAGCAAGAGTCAGTAAGTCTGGAAAAACTAATGTTTCATACTTGCTATATAGCACAAGACAAAGCATTGGAATGATAATATGGCTCTTGTTTAATTTTAAATATTCTTGTAAGCAATAAATATATCCTTAGATGTAGAACTGGAAATAAGTCATAATGTTGATCTTGTTTGTAAAAGAATGGATTGCTATAAGATGAATTCTGTAGCTCTTTCAAATCAATGCTTCTTTAGAAAAGAAACTAGAAGTGCCAAGCAAGCAGCTCGGTGAAATATTATAGGAGAACAGGCTGAGAGCAGCAAAAATGAAATTTTGTCCAGAAAGAGATCTATCAAAAGGCTGGAATATCTGTAGGAGTCTGCAGAAAGTTTTTTTTTTTTAATAAAAAATTTATTTGGGTTTTCACAAAACATAATACAAGTAAAATTTCTTTTTTTGAGAATAGCATGGTCCCGGATTATCACTTCTCCATACAGACACAAATTCAATTTCATATTCATCTTTGTGTTCTATTCCATATCTTATTACTATTTTAACATTTTCTCAATAATTTTTCCCTTCCCTTAGTTTTCCCTTCCCTTCCCTTCCCTTATTACTATTTTAACATTTTCTCAATAATTTTTCCCTTCCCTTAGTTTTCTCAATCTTACTTTTAATTATCTCATTCCTTTCTAAGTTCAATTATATATATCTTTTTCTAAGTTTCAATACCTTTCTAGTCATATTTATACTTTTGTCTGTCCTGTTTCAATTTCATATTTTCTTTTCTCATTAAACAAAATTTCCCTCTGTAGTTACTAATTGGAGTATGACACCTTTGTATCTTTTAATTTTTATCCATTCAACTCTTATTTAAACTTCAATTTATGCCTTTACAACTATAACATTCAATATAACACATAACTTCCAGTTCAATTCTGCTTGGTACATTCTTAAAATACGCACTAAGTTCTTAAAGAGAAAATATATATAACAATAATAAATAAAATACTTATTCTATTCCAATTCAGTTCTAACATTAATGTTAGTTATAATCTTTGACATCTTTAACATTCCTTTTCAATAGGATATCATACTTCTATGAACACTTATAATATTTCCATAATTTTTCATGTTTCTTTCATATTCCTCTTCACTTAAATTTTTATAACACATTTATAATAATTAAAATGTTCCCCTCCTTTCCTAATTTCATTCTCTCACTCTCTTTATTTCATATATTTATTAAAAATCAATTCCATTACAATGAGTATTTTATCTATCATTTTAATCACACTTGTTTCATATTTTCAAAGTTCATTTCTATTTCTAATATAACAATACTACCTTATGTACCCTTGCAGAATCCCCCTTTCAATTAAGTTTTCACCCAATATCTCTGTGTCTTGTACATTTTCCCTGTTTCTCTATGTCCTGCGCACAATCGCAGATTTTGGTCTGTCACCGAAGAAGCTCAAACTGAATCTCTTCAGTTCTGTGAAAAGGGGGAAGAAAACCATGACGGTTCTGACTTAAAGCTGTATCCCAATTTTGCATTGCTTAGACAGTTCAGTTAATTAACAAACAAATCAAACCCTTTTATCTCTTTTCTTTGATAATTACAGTTGAACCTAGTGAAAAATTCATCTAGCATGGATGGGAAACTTCTGTTATTCCCAAATTACCTCTTCTCAATATCTCTAACAATTGGTCATATTGGTTGGAAACGATGAGTTGCCGACAACAGCTGAAAGGCTACACTAATGCTGGGGTTTTTTTCTCTCTTCCTGCAAATCAAAGAGCAAATTAGAAAGCAGTTATAATGTTTTCTTTTTAAAAAATCCTGGCTTTAGACAAAAACCCATGTCTATACTGAGTTAACAGCCTCAATGGATTTTACTTTGTTTTATTTATTTATTTTATTTACCGTATTTATCGGCGTATAACACGCACAGGCGTATAACACGCATCTTCATTTTAAGGGGGAAATTTCAGGAAAAAAATTTTAAAAAAATTCTGCCTGCCTGCCTTAGTTTCTGGTTGTTTGGGAGCAGCTTCGGCTGAGAATAATAACTATTCGCCTCTTTTACTCAGCCGAAGCTGTTCCGATTCAACCATTAACGAAGGCAGGCAGGCAGGCAGAACGGAGCACTGCGGGCGGGCGGGCGGGCGGGCGGACGGGGTGGGGGTGGGGGAGAGGCGACAGGAAAAGCCCCCCCCCCCGCTTCTTTGAAGCAGTTTCTTCCTGTGCTGGTGGAGGAGCGAGAGAGCGACTGAGAGAGCTGACCCAGAGAGAAGGACAGGCTTCGGTTGCTTCCTCCCTCCCCTTCTTTCATTTGTGTCCTTGATCCCCGATCCCAGCAGCATTCACCGAAGGCTTCTTAACGTTATATCGGCGTATAACACGCATACATCATTTGCCCCCTATTTTCAGGGGGAAAAAAGTGCGTGTTATACGCCGATAAATACGGTATTTGATTTGTCAATCGCTTACAAGATAATAAGTATAAGGATAAACTTAGTTATGAATACATGAAATGAATACATATAAGAAAAATAAAAGAAACAATAGGACAGGGACGGTAGGCACATTGGTGCGCTTATGTTTTTGAGACCATACCAAAACAAACAAAACAAAATCCCCAAATATAACACTGAAAGAGACAATACAATGTCTTGTGATTCTTTTGAAAATATTTGATTGCCCCACTATTTAATTATTGTATTGGAAAATAGTTTTTCAAAAGCTCCTTCTTTAACCCAAGCAGCAGAGCAGGCTCAAATAAATAAATAAGAATTAAATATGGTCATGCCGACATCAAAAGTTCAGATACTAGACAAAGTAATACAGTATAACATAATACAGTTTGAAATAGGTGATTCTCTGCTTGGACATTTATATTTTATGGGCTATATATAGGCAGTCCTTGAGTTTCGACCTCAATTGAACCTAAATTTTCTGTTGCTAAGCGAAATTATTTGTTAAGTGAATTTTGCCACATTTTACCATTTTTCCTGCCACAGTTGTTAATTGAATAACTGCAGTTTTTAAGATAGTAATGTGGTTATTAATACGAGTCGGTTGCCAAGCATCCAAATTTTGATCACATGACCATAGGAATGATGCAATGGTCATAAGTGTGCAAAACGGTCATAAGTCACTTTTTTTAGTGCCATTGTAACTTTGAATGGTCACTAAATGAACTGTTGTAAGTCAAAGACTATCTATAATTGTTATTGTTATAGTTACTGACCAGTATTTGTAGAATTGTTATAAAAAGTTACAAAGTTCAAATGAAAAAGCACAAGCATTTCTAAAACCAATAAAAAGAATAATAAATTATTCATAATAATCCTATATAAATAGAATCTTAATTTTTAAACAATTTCAAGAAATAGTAAAAATAGCAAGACTGTAAAACTGCTTTAAAATACTAAAAACTTGCTTACTAAATGCTAAACTGCTCAGCATATATACAAACAAATGCAAACTTGCTAGGATGAGTGAATGGTGAGGTGTAAATTAAATTATATATTTGAAGGATCCTAAAGCTTGAAGTATTAAAAGATTAAAGATCCAATTCCAAAGAAGGGCAATGCAACGAAAGTTCAAACTACCGCACCATTGCACTCATTTCACATGCTAGTAAAATTATGCTCAAAATCCTACAAGCTAGACTCCAGCAGTATGTGGATCTAGAACTACCAGAAGTACAGTCAGTCAAAGAGGCAGAGGAACTAGAAATCAAATTGCCAACATATGCTGGATCATGGAGAAAGCTAGTGAGTTCCAGAAAACATCTACTTCTGCTTTATTGGCTATGGTAAAGCCTTTGATTGTGTGGATCACAACAAATTGTGGCAAATCCTTAAAGAGATGGAGTACCAGACCATCTTTTTTTTTTTTTTGTAAAAATTTTATTTGGGTTTTCATAAAACATACAATTAAAATATCTTTTTGAGAACAGCATGATTCCAGGTTATCATTCCTCTATACAGACAAAAACTTGATTACATATTCATCTTTTCTTTCTAATCATTATATTTATACTTTTGTCCATCCTATTTACAATTTCGTATTTTCTTTTCTCATAAAACAAGATTTTCCCTGTAATTAC